GGCGCGGCCGAGGAAGGAGGAACGCAGGGCAAGTTGGTGGAGGCGCTGAGGCAGATGAGAATTAATCATAGGGGGAACTACCGCCACCTGCTGGAGGAGATGCTCAGTAGTTTCAGGCTGGCGCAGGGGCCGGGGCCGGAGCGCTCGGCAGAGCCCGCCCCGCCCGGGCAGGACACCCGCCCCGGGCCCGCCGACCGCCCGCCGGCAGCGCCGCGCCCGGACCGAGATGCGGGCAGCGATGGGATGAGCCGTGATGGACACACCTGATCTGTGACGGAGCGCATTTAACGCTTCGCTTCACTTCGCTTGGCGCGTTTTCCTTTGTTTGTATCCCGGCGTTTTGTCACATCTGCCCTAGAAGACTGTTTGGTTTTACTTTAGTTGTTTGTACAGATTGTTTATACAGAGCTCTTACTTCCTTAGAAGTTCAACGGCTGTGGTATATAATAGTAAATGCATCTTATGTTGTGTAGCAAGCAGTTAACTTGCTATTTGAGATTTTAGTTTTTTGGCTTTTTGTTGGTTTTTTTTGTTTTGTTTTGTTTTTTTGTTTTTTAAATCCTGTGACACCGACAACAGGAATCTAACATGCTAATGCAAAAATAAATTATAAATTTTTTTCTTTTAAATATGTTTTTAAATATTTTTGATGGTTCTGTTTGTTCATTGTAAAGCAATTCACATCTTAGTTGTTGTATCTTTTGTGCATTTTAATTGAATTATACAAATTCTTTAGTCTTCCCCCCCCCCAGCATCATATACTGCATGTTCGTGTTTGAATTGTGTATAGTTTCTATTATGACTAAATTACAAAAACTATTACGTTTTAGGTTGTCACTTATGAAATGTGTTTGATCCCCTCCCCCACCCATTTAGATTGTATCCACTGTTCATAATAAATACCAGTTTTTCTAGACAACTGTGTTATTACATCCCAGGTTGTAGCACAACATATATCCAGAAATGAAAATGTACTTAGATTTAGTACCTAGTGTCAAGTTACAATAATTTGTGTTCAAGTGAAAATAAAGCATATGCTGTGGAATAATATCTGTATGCATATTGAATCTTTTAAGCAAATAATAAACTTTCTTTGAAGTGTTATCACTCTGACATGACTTGAACCTTTTCCTAGCTTCTCACATTAACTCATGACATTCATTAGTTTCTACAAATCTTTGAGTAGTTTTTGGTTTGGATCATTTGGGCAACATTTCTCAGGTTCAAGTTACACATCAGCCATATAAACGAATACACTATTCTACTAAAGCTTACCTTCTACCCAATCTTTTTCTTGGTTTTTTTGGGGTGCAACACATATGCGTTTTTGTAGGCCAGTGGTAACACTGGGAGTTTGCAGTGGTGGTAACTCATTTGCTAATAATTGAAATCTGGAGTTCTTGTTTCAATGGTCAGTTCATAATATATAACATTATCACAAAAATATAATTGTTCAAAATAGGTACAAATTTCACTGCTTTAATGAAAATGAGCCTGTGGGAATTTCTTGTGGACCAGGAATACCTGAAGAGCTGAGCTCCATAGTATTTTGTAGAATTTTTTTTTGTTTGTTTTGTTGTCCACAGATGTAGTATGTGTTGATAGTTGTGATTTAGTACAATTTTAGATAAATCTTGATGTTTAAGACTTTTTGCTATAATAGCTTTAGTGGATTCATGTTTTCTAAAATTAAGTTCCCTCATGATGTTGACAAACAGCAAATGTTTGTGTGTGGAAGAGGGCAGGTATGGAAAAGAAGGAAAATGTTTTCTGTCTTACACTAATGTTCTTAATTATGCCACTGAAATCCAAAGTGCATCAAAATGTTTTCATTTGTATTGGTGAGTAGTAATATTTTTCCTCTTCTTTTCCTGTAGGGTGCTGGAGATCTAGAAGATCCGTGGTAGCCTTACAAATCTACTAAAATGCTTTTGATTCTGAAAGGGGGAAAAAAACTTTTAAATCTGATTTCTTCAATACAAGGGAAAAATTCTGGTGGATTTCCAACATTTTGTGAAATGGGCAGAAAGATATTAGAATTTTCCATCATTTGTTCATTTTTGTGTTTTCTGATATTGCCACTCTTAGCATTGCCTGTACTACAGTATTTTTACCAGCCTCAGGCATACTGATTACATCTGTAATGAACTTTGGCCCTAAAAAGGAAGGAGGGAAGGAAGGAGTCTCTCAGCAGATCGGTGTATGTACCTGAGGTGCATGGGATTGTAGGTGTACTCTGAAGATACACTTTGGCCAAATGAAACGTGCAACACACAAGCATGAGAGAGTACAAGTAATTGTTTGAGACATGACTTATTTCACTTTTACCGAGTTGGAAGGCTTTGCAGCTCTGTGGCTTGGAAGTAATTTTAATTGGGCAATACGCTATCAGATGTGTATTTTATTTCTTTTTTTTTTTTTCTCCTTTTTTTTTTTTTTTTTTTTTTTTTTTTTTTTTTTTTTTTTTTTTTTTTTTTTTTTTTTTTTTTTTTTTTTTTTTTTTTTTTTTTTTTTTTTT